GACCTTAAAATAAGTATATTGAAGTCGTTTTCGTTAAGATATCACCATGATCAAGAAGATTGTATGAGCTGGAGACACATATATATAAAATTAGAAAGAAAACTCGGCCCATTCAAAATAGAGAAGATATGTACTTCATTGTTATAACAAAATTAAGATACTTTACAGTGGGGGCCCATCAACCACTCGGCCCATTCAAACCCATTTTGAGTTACAAAAACCTCTAAACGAGTCAGCGAGTTCATTTGGTGTGGCACCGAGTCGGCACCGAGTCATCGTCGAACTCAAAAAACCCCTGCAAAAACCTCAACGATCACAACCATGGAGATTAGAGATGACTACAAATTCCTGAGGATTCAAGACGCTTTCAAGGCATTGCATATTCACGTTAACCTCATTGGAATCATCGTCGAGTTAGGTTTCCACAATGGCTCAGGTAATCGTTGATCCCTTCCCGAAAAAAACCTTTTGCAATTTCCAATTCATAGCTTCGTCTCAATTATCTTCCGATTGATGTGAAAATCTGTTCCAGATTGTTCATGTACGATGAAAATCGTCGATCCATGGCATTCTGGATCTGGTCTTCCGGTTAAATTCATCGCTCGTACTATGCAAGCTCTTCCTCGTGTTGAATCGATTGGAGATATAATCTCGATTTCACGTGTAAAGGTCCGATAACACCATTCCTATCTTCGTTTCTTCACATTATAGTTCATGGGTTTGTGTCAATTTCTCTCTTTCTTTTGGAATCTATGTCGCAGATTGTGCTGTTTAACCGGAAAATCACTGCTCTATGGAATGAAACATCTTCTTCTTCGTTTGCTTTGTTCAGTGGGATATATGATGAGGATTGTGTACCGTACCAATCTTCACCTAAATTTCAGATGAGAGAACAAGATAAGAACTTGTTATCAAATCTGAGAGAATGGATGTTAACTCACAGTTTCGAAGATGGTAATAACAACAGTGTTTTCATTTCTCAAGAGTACAATGCATTTCTCAATAGTATTGTTCATTGAGATATTCATTAGCAAAATGGTTTTCTTCTTATTTGAACTCGAATAAGTTGTGTGTTTTGGTAAGGTTGAAGATTTGTTTTGTTTTTATGATAGGGTCATGCTATTTCACATCACTGAAAGATATTAAAGAAGGGGAATGTTCAAACTTATCTTGCCAGGTTGATTAATCTTTTTTGAAAATTTTCATGTTTATGGTCTGCTATGTCTTTAACATTGTATCATTATTCTTTGTTTCCCCCTGAAGATTGTTCATATTTCGAAGGACGATAAGGATAGGTGGTACATGTTTGTTTGGGATGGAACTGAGATGCCACCTTGCAATATCGTGGTAAAGTAAGTATGTATGCTTCACCCGATTCAGCTCTCAAGTTTTTCATTTAAAGTTTGGTTTTGAGATCCCCATTATTTTGTACTCTTTTGTATTCGTATTTGCTCTTGTACAGCTACTCATTTCCTGGATTAATAAAACTTTCTACAAAAGAAAACAGTGTCTTTATATATATGGAAGACAAACTTCTCCTAGTCTCTTTTGTTCGTATGATAAAAAATCCTCTGAGATTAGGCTCTGGATTAATAAAACTTTCTACAAAAGAAAACAGTATCTCTGTATATATATGGAAGGCAAACTTCTCCTAGTCTCTTTTGTTTGTATGATAAAAGATTCTCTGAGATTAGTCTATGGCTGCTGATCATTTTATCATTGGCTCTTGAAAGCTCAGTGTTTTTTTCTTGCAAATGGACATCATAACAGGTCAGAAAGGTTTCGTTTATGTGTCGAACCCGAGATGTTACCTATTCACGTGTTACGTAAGTTTCCTACTTGTGGTTCCGTTTTGAGGATCGTAGTAGAGAAAGTTAGTGAAAAGCAGGCCATTCACTGTCTTCAACCTGGTCAACACGTGAAGTTTCTGAACCTTTTCTTTCAAGTAAATATGGGATTGTGGAGTGCTGCTTTTACTCCCTCTACAAAGATGCAGTACACAATGAGCACAGAAATTCAAGCCTTAAGACCTCAAAGGTTTCTTCTAACACTTTTTCTTATCATGTGGTTTGATGTTAAACATCGTCAGCTTATAAAGAGAAGTTTTTTTCTTACAAATTCAGGATGTACGGGGAGAAATTGTCATCGAGATGGGACCCTGTCGCACTTTGTATCAGTCCTTTGCACTCAGGAATCACAGGTTAAATTTTGAGTTTTTAGACATTTGACATAATGTTGAAACGTATTTGATAATATTGTTTTGGCTTAATCCTTCTTTAGGAGTTGCTCATGAGGATGCTCCGTTTGTTACTCTGATGGACATCCTGACCTATCACAATGTACTATATCCCAAAAGCTTTGGATTCATCCTTGAGTTGTAGAACAAAAGTTATAATGAAGACTTTCTCGAGTTGATGTTTGGTTATGCTTTTTGCAGGTGACTGCCAAATTCAAGTGTGTTGTTCGGTTCATACAAGTAAGAAAATTCCATGATTCCAACGGAAAATTCAAACTGCTAGCGATACTCGAAGATGCAACCGCCAGAATCTGCGCTTCTCTATACGCCGATGAAGGGGTAAAATACTAATCTCTGTTGAGCTCATGGAAGATTTTTCGGTTACTAATCTCTCTTGATCTCATGGAAGATTGTTCGACACTTATATCCGCAATTTCATTTACAGGAGAAGTTTTTCGGGTGTGACCAATCTGATGAAGAAGCGCTGATCAAGAAACTGAATAGATTATTGGGAGGTGAGGAAATGGATCAAGTGCCAAGAAATCCACCATGGGTGCAATGTTGCTTGTTCTCATTTTACAGAAACAAAATGGATCCATGGGGAAGCAAAAGATTCCGGATTTTCGATACATGGATCAATGATTCATAAGTCACATTAAATCAATCACAAATCATAATGTTAATTGTGGTAAATGTGTTGTAATGCTCTGATTTATAAAACAAAGTAATCTAAATCTCAAAATATAATTATTTATTCACATAGTACAATAAATAAAATATTACATAAGAATAAGACGTAAATCTCTCCAACAATATCACAGAAAATCCCATGTATGAAAATAATGAAGCAAACGATCTAATAGAAAAATAGATAAAAGAAAACAAGTGAATACGACGAAATCGAAGACCAAATATAGCATTGACTTTGAGTCTCAAATGTCAACGTCACACTTGGTCCTCTGAAACTGGAACCCGCTCGTTGTATTAGGATTACTAATCGGAACCTTAAGCTCACACCTAATCTTCGGTTTAAACCTCCACGACTTAATCAACCCAAACTTAAACCTAACCCTAAGCCTCAGCTTCGCATCGATCCTATAAATCCCAGATTTCAAATCCTCGTCGAGATCTTTCCTCTCTCCGCCGCTAAGCACCAACAAATTCTGTCCCTGAAGCTTACTTCCGACCTCCGTCGTGTTCTTATGCCCCTGGTAAAACGGCGATACGTTACCGTTACTGAATCTCTGGTCGCCGTAATATCCTCTGACTTCGATCTGATCATAGTAAACACCGATTCGTCGATTAGGGTTACGGATCGTGAAATTGAGGTCGAGATTGTAACGGAGGTTGTTGTTTGGATCGAGTGTGAATGTGGTGAGTTTAGCATCGGTGACGTGGAATTTGATGGCGTTTGGTCGGAATATTAGCCAGATGATTAGCGCCGCTATGCCGGCGACGATTGCTAAGGTTATGAGGATGTTGAAGATGACGCTTAAGATGCAGCAACCGCAGCAACCGAGACAGTCGCCTAAACAACTGCAACAACCGCAACCGCCGCGTCTGCCGTGGCTGTGAGAGGTTTTTGTTGGCGGAGGAATCGATGGTCCGTAATAGGCACCGCTTAAGTGCGGTTGTGGTTGGTGTCTGTCCCCCATGTGTTCGATGATATGCCTCAGAGAGAAATAGATTTTGAAGAAGAAAGACTTTTTGTTTTAGAAAGTAAAAATGAGATTATTATTATTCAATGGAGAAGAAGGTGTGTATATATACTGTAGAGATAACGTGTATTAGATAAAACGATTAAATTGACGCGGTTTTGTTTTTTCAAAGTCAAAGGTGACGCGGCCGTTTAAATATTTGTAAAGATGATTTGATTAATTAAAAAGGTTACTTGTGAGACATATATATATGTAAACTTAGATATTTAGGAGAATATAACAGTTTAATTAACATTTAAGATTTTTTTTTTTTTTATTTAGATTACTTGGTGGTGATTAATGAGATTGATTTTTTCGTGTACAAAAATATCTATACGAGAATAAATTATATATAAATGAAAAATTGAGAGATTGGGAATGTGATGATCGTTAGTGGGGTAGTTGGTTACGGAATGTAATATAAGCTTCGAAGAAACTTCCTTAAAAGCGACCGCTCTAAGATAGCCATTTTTCCGAAGCTTGAGAAAAGACTTTTGAGGAAATTTTATAAAATGAGCAAAGAAGAATATCAATAATTCTATACAAAGTTACAAACCGGTCCCGGTCAAAAAATTGAAACAAAAAATTAAAAATTATATTAGCATAATATAACTTTGATCTATATAAGTTGCAACTAAGGTGGATTTTCCTAATGTTAATTATCTTATAAATATGAGAAACAAAACAAAAAAGGCTATCAAACAAGATGTCGCAAAAGTCTACAGAAAATAAAATTTTATTTGAAATAATGAACCAATGTTTATTGTGAAAGATTTCTCAAGTTCAAAGAAAATAAAAACATCGCAAAGACTTTTGTAAGTTGTAATGGTTTAATGCTAAAAGCAAGAAAACGAAGGGAGGTTGGTGGTGTGACCTGTAATTGTGAACGAAGATTAAGTGAAGACATGCTTTCAAGTGTTACATCTTTCTTAAATGAGAGGTCAAGCAAAATAAATATAGAATGATAATACTATATAGCAATGCAAGCTATATTAAATTTTAAACAACTTGCTAAAATTTGTAAATAATATCATTATCTCAAAATCTTCTTATACTATGAGATGCAAAGTTTTTTTTTATTAGTGTATTACTTTAAAAAGCTAAGAAAGTTGTATCTCTCATAAATATTAAATTGATATTTGGATAAATTAACAAGATTCATGGTATACTTCATTGTATTTTTAATAATTAATAAGTTATTTCTGGGGAGAGGGAGAAAATTTTTCTTTATTTTTTTTTCTTGGTAAATGGAGAGGGATCAACAGTGGCGAATTTATAAATTATTTTCATCAGGGACAGATTTAAAAACTACTAAATATTTTTTATATAAAAAACGTTCAAACATCATAGAAACACCTAATGGGTGGGCATAAAACAATGTATCAACATGGACATATTTAAAAACTCTAAAAAAATTAGCCTAATTTTTGTTTTTATGGTGGGTAAGTGTCCCCTTGCTAACACTCTGCATTCGCCCCTGGGGAGCGAGTGATTTGTCAGGGTTTTGTATAGATTCGCTCTGCTTGAGTTTGCGGTTGTTTTTTTTTCTTTCGAAAATTTAGATACTCACTAATTTTAGGGAAATTGGGCCAAGTAACCAAAAAAAATATATATCTTAAAATCTAACCAAAAATATCATATGTGGATAAATCATAACCTTTAGAACTAGGGTATTTGGTCATCATTTTAAATACAAATTTTTTTATGGTTATTTAAGAAATTAACCCCTAATTTTATTGGTGGGTTTGTTTGGACGAAGTAGTTCAATGGAAGACTAAGAACGGATGAAGACTTTGGATGTTTGTAGAAAATGGAAAATGTAGGAAGCGGTATTGATAATATGTCTCATATTAGAATTAAAATTCAACAATACTAATATATAGAAAATATAAAATTTCCCACTTATTACTCATTKGTTTCAAATTGAAAATCAATGAAGTTGATCAGATAGGTAACTATCTATTGTATTAGGTTGAAAATACTTGCTGTAATTGATACTTGCTCTC